AATTCACTAAATAGCACTTGAAACGTTCAAGATCCGTATTCGATTTAGCGACTAATCCTTTCGTCTGATCATATAAGCTTTCAAATTGTAATTCACACTCAAGCCGGTTATCCCTGCGTCTAGGAGCGCAAAACTTTAAGCCAAGCGATAGAACTTCAATCAAAGTTGTGTCCAAGTTCAAACTAGAAAAGTTGTGTACCTACCTGTCTGGCCTGTTTGGAAACGTGGCTTGCGGCTTAAGCTGGCTCAGCGACTTAGAAATAAATAGTAAAAAGGGAACATCGGCCAATAATCGTTCCGCTTTGTTATGGGTGGGAGAGCCCATGGAGGCGGGAGAGCCCATAGCGCACTGAGGCTTGTGTTGGCTAGACTGACAGCTCGTCGACCGAATGCTGCTACAGTTGTGCGGTGGGCTGATGTCCTGGACCTATCCCCGTGGCGACCGCTGGGTGAGAGTGGGGTTTTCCCCTCTAGCTAAGTGCCCGGACACACACTAATCCGCACGAGTCAGTGAACTGATCATGTGCTAGACCCGCTGCCTTTCGAGTGTACATTTAATCGAAGGTTTTGGCTGAGGCCCCGAGTCGTTCTCCTGTCAGGTGTAGGCGCCCTGCCAGTATCCTAGTCCACCCACTTCGGAGGTTAGGAAGTGGTCGATGGCCCTCTTCCCGTAAAATCTAGCCATGGGAGACAACAGGCCCATGGGTTTTAACAGTTGGATTGGCGTATAGCACGAGCGCCACGCATTCTCACTGACGGTTGGAGGGCACCTCCGGGTGTTCAATGGTACGCAACTGCCTGCCTCAAGCCAAGCAACCTCTGGTCAGATTGGTGCAAGCCCGCCAAAACCCACCTGTGTCTGTCCGTCGTAGCAGGTGTGAATCCAACTACGGTCACAAAACACATATGAATAATTCTAAATCTTCAAACTCTGTGTGGGCGAACCTCTAACAGATCCAAATGTGTTTATACAGTCACACTGCCGTGCTGCATCTGCTCTCCAATGCCTTGTGGGTCAGGCTATTGAGTCAACCACTGCGGGAGGAGTCGCTAAATCAACCCACCGAAGCACAAATAGCACTAAGCGTGCTATTGCTCATCAGAGCAGTCGTGTGACTGCGCGCAAAGCACTCAACATCAGATACTAGAACGAGCGCATACTACTGGACGGCAATTCGGTTGAGCGCCTCAAACGACGCACTGCACTGGTCACGGTGGAATTGGCGCGCTACAACCTCGATATTGCGGGGCACAGCGAGACCCGATCGCCTCAATGGTCCGCTAGTGTGTGAGCCCACTGGAATTAACCAGCGATTGATGACTGGCTGTACCCACGGACGTCGTGGATTTTTGGATCAACGTGTGCTGAATACGACTTTTGCCTCAGATTACTGTGTTAACAGCGTTTTATCTGTGTGAATTGTGGACCAATATTCTTCTTTTGGCGTATTTTCCAAGCGGTGCAAATTTGGCGGCTATTCTTTGGCTAATTCCGGAGATCTCATTGATTTTCCATACTGCCATCTCTGTCCGCCATCTTGGATTTGCTCTAGCTTGTGATGCTGTCTCAAGCTACTTGAGGTTCGTGTTCGAAAGTTGTGGGAAATAAGGCTCATGCACTTCGATGCTTCGGCTGTGATGTTTTATTCCATTTCGTGCATTGGCTTATCCGTTGACGTGTTTCGAAAATCGCTCGACATCCCACATAGGTTTTTTTCAAGTTATATGTGATAAATGTCGCGGTACAAGACATCAGAATACGCAGCGACCGCAAACAACTATGGGAAAATCTCACTTTCAGATAGAATCAAACCGTTCACCACGTGGGATCAAACGCCCTCGTGGAAGTACCTCTGTTTCCTCGCCTTCTATTGTCACTCCGCGACCTGCGCCGCCACCAGTGTCTTCGACCCCGGCCGAACCCCAGGTTCAATGTTTCCCACCGATGGAAGACTCAGACTCAGAAGCTACGAAATGCCGCTTCACTGATCGGTCCGTGAATTTCTCAGAGCCTGTCTGTGAACTTCTGAACACCGAAGATCCATGGACCACTCAAAAGCGCAAGGGCCCACGTAATCGAGTTCAGACGTCACCTGCTGATAAACAACAACCCAATCAGTTAAGCGCCTCTAGTTCTGCTCCCACAGGTTCATCACTGATTTCGCTGAGACGTCATAATCTCATGGTCTTCCACGTACCGGAGTCAAAAGATGAAAACCCTAAGATACGTTATGATCACGATGTTGAGTTCCTCCAGGGGCTCATCGATAGACTCTTGGATGTGGGCGAGGACAGTGTGACGATCAAACAAGTAATCCGACTTGGCCAGAAAACTAACCAGTCATGTCGACCTCTGAGGATCACCTTTGCAAATCCCAATATGCCGCAGCTCATACTGTCTCGTCTGTCAACGTTGAAAAGCATTAAAGTTCACATCCGCCGACACTTGGAACCCGAAGACAGGGATCGTTTGAAGACTGTGGTCATTGAGCTCAAACGCCGTACAGAGGAAGGTGAGACTGACTTACAAGTTGTAAATTTCCAGGTGATCGAGAAGGGTGTACGAACCCGTATCAACCGGTTGCTCAACCTACAGGCACCTCCCGCAGTACCTCCCAGGACCTCCATGTCGCATTCGCCAACGTGTGCCGCCTAACGAACAAACGTGACGAACTGTGCCACTTCGCTGTCTCGGAGCGGCCGGACATTTTAGGACTTGCAGAGACATGGCTGAACTCTGACGTCATACTCCAAGAAGTCGTGTTGTCAGGATACTCTTGTTTCCGATGCGACCGAAAATCAAAGGCTCACGGTGGTGTTCTGTTGTACATAAAATCGTCACTATCTGGCCAAATTATCAGTACCTATCGGAGCGAGGATAGTTTATGCGAGCAACTGTGGTTGCACAGGTCTCGCCTCAGGCGCCGCAGAACTAATAGTGGGGGGTGATCTATCGGCGAGCCATTATAACCGTGTGCGTTGCGATTGATAACGCACATATACAGAAAGCACATGAGC